GAATATATCATGTTCATGGATAGGAAGACCCAATATTGTGAAATTGACATTTCTACCAAAGGCAATCTACAAGTTCAATGCAATTCCTATACAAACACCAATTCCATTCTTCAATGAGATGTAAAAGGCAATCTACAACTTTATTTGGAATGGAAAGAGACTCTGAATAAGCAAAGCACTCCTGAAAATGAGAAACAAGGAAGGAGCACCTCACTTCCTGATATCAAATCCTACTATACTGCTGTGGTGGTCAAGACACTGTGGTACTGGTACAATGAAAGATGAACAGATCAATGGAATAAAATTAAGAATCCAGAAACCAGCTCATCTACCTATGGTCAACACATTTTTGACAAGGAGATGAAATCAATTAAGTGGGGAAACTAAAGTTCCATCAATAAATGGTGTTGGCAAAATTGGGAAACTATTTGTAGAAAACTCAGGAAAGATCCACATCTCACACCATTCACAAAAACCAACTCAAAGTGGATCAAGGACCTAAGAGTAAAACCAAGGAGTAAAAACATCAAAGAAATGCTTGAAAGAACTCTAGAATCCCTAATCCACAACATGGACAGTCTTCCAAACATCCTGAAAAATCCTACAACCAGGAGAGAATAAAATAGATGGACAGGGACGGCTAGAATCAAGTCCCTATGCACATCAAAAAACTTCTCCAGCAGGGTAAAAAGAAAAGCCATAGACTGGGGGAAAAAAATTTGGTAATGCACCTCAACAAGATAAATGTAAACAACCTAATTGCAAAATGGCACCGGATATGAACAGACATTTCACCAAAGAAGACATTCAGATGATAAACAAACACATGAAGAAAAGTTCAAAATCCTTAGCTCAAAGTGAGATGAAAATAAAAACAACTATGAGATACCATCTCACAGCAGTAGCAGCAGCAAAGTTCAACAGAGCAGCAAACAACAAATGCTGGTCAGATTGTGGAGAAACTGGAACCTTTATTCACTGCTGGTGGGAGTGTAAAATGGTACAACGACTCTGCTTTTTTAAAAAGTTGGAATATCATTTGACCCAGCAACTTCACTACTGGGAATATATCCTCAATAAACCAGAACTGCCACCCAAGCAGATATATGCACATCCATGTTTATTGCTGTGTTGTTCACAATTGCAAAGAAATGGAAGCAACCCAAGTTCTCATCAACAAATGAATCGGTAGAGAGGCTGTGGTATATTCACACAACTGAATACTACACAGCACTGAAAAACAAGGAACTCATAAAACATTCTACAAAATGGGTAACCTTGGAGGACATTATGCTGAGTGAAATCTCAGTCAAAAAGGACAAATACTGCATAATACCACTGTTATTAAACAGGACTGACATGAGAATTGGGGGGAAACTAAGAAAAGAGAGGATAAATAATGAACAATGTATTGAAACAGATGAGGGAAAGAACTGTTAAAAAGAACACATAATTAGGCATTGTTTGCATGACAACAGTCCAGAATAAGAAGTGTATAGCTAAATGGACTGGGGTGGGAGGAAGGGAGGAAATTGCACAACAATGAATGAACTTTTAAAGAGAAAAGTGAACTGAGCAGGTAGGGAGTAAAATATGCAACAATAAATGAATGGAAAGCCATTTTCTGTAGACTTTTGTTAAAAGCATAATTTTTTTTTTTTAAGTACAGCGTAGACACAAAGACAAGGTAGCACAAATGAGTGTTGTAGAAGGGTGTGAGGAAAATAGATAAATGCCATATGAAGATCTCTATAGAACCGAAGAATTCTGGAAGAGACAAAGAAAAAAACAACAACAGAGAGCTAATACAGAGCCTTCCATTAGGGCTATTATTCTGAATTCAGAACTGTGTTGTTAATGATGTTAGGGACCATAGAGTTGACTGTGACTCATAGCAACCCTTGACCAAGAGAAATTTTTGTTCTATCCTTTGCTATTCTCACTGTCCAGTGGTGCACAGTGAAAACTGTCAAAATGAATTTTTGGTCTTTGAAGGCAACCATCTACAGTATTTTTATTACAACAGAGTAAGTAAGACAAATGAGTAAGACAAATGAGTGTTTGGAAAGATTGTGATGGAATGGACAGATCCATATGAAGATCTCTATGGAACCAAGGAATACTGGAATAGATAAAGACCAACACTAGGAAGGAAAAAAACAACAAAACTCCATGTCATTGAACAATGATTTTGTCCTAACAGTGCTACTCATTGAACTAAGAGACTGAGAAATGTCAATGAATCACCATGCATCAAAGAAGGTGGAGACTCAGAGGACAGTGGCTAGGATGCCAGGACTGGGCTAGAAACCCAGACTGTCGACTGCTAGTTGCCCATCTGCCACAGTGGGCAGTAAAGTGAGGGCATTGAAGCTCATCTATCAGCTTCAATGGAAGTGTGTCTGGCTTTGGACCTCTTGCCATTTGATTTTTACTTCAGAGTAATGACTGCGGGCCAGGGCACCAACACTTAGGAGCAACCACAGAAATGTACCGAAATTTAACCTTCTGACCCTCAGATGAGATGGCCTGACCTCTGAGTTCTGCCTCTTAGAATCTGTAGGGGATTGTCATTACTTGTCTTGCCTGGTTTGTCTAGATCCTCTCCTAGTTTTTTGTTTGTTCTTCTACCACTTCTTTAGAATTCAATCCAAATAGGCATTCCCTGTATAACTGAACTCTTAAAAAAATATACCTACTTAGAACTGGAGTGAATGACTCAGAAAAATCAGTACATAAAGACCATCCCTTTTGTACTTTCTCCTTCCCCTTTTTTCTTCCCTACTTTTTTTGTCTCATTACATAAGATCCACACAACAATATCTCAGCTTCCTGGTGTTGTAGTTGCATACCATCAAGTAAGAAGTGACTCACAGCTGATCCTCCAGAGGGTTTTCAGAGGCATTGAATCACACTGCAGGAGATTGCCCATCTTTCTCCCATGGAGCAACTGGTGGATTTGAACTGTGAGGTTTTGGTATGACAGCACAGCTCCTTACCACTAGGCCAATATCTTAAATAAATATGATTGGTAGATGAATATCACCACACGCTTGATTCTTAGCTGAGGGAGATCTCCCCCTCTATTTCCATCTAGAGGATATTAAAAAATGTCTGGAGACATTTTGTTTCATCAAATCTGGGAACAG